GATAGATAGATAGATAGATAGATAGATAGATAGATAGATAGATAGATATTAGAAAGAAAGAAGAAAGCTGATTAAGCAACACATGCTGTTACATGTGAAACAGCCTTGCTTGCCATCCTGTGTTGTTCTATCCAGCGGATCTTTTAACCATTAATCATTTATTATCTGACTACCTCAGCCTTCCTAGAGGAACCTCCCCTGCCAGGTGAAATCCAGAACAAACATCCCCTCATTGAATGCGGTGGAGTCAGTGCTGCCGTGGTATGCAGTGGTTTCTGGGACTGTTCACCTCTGCAGGGCCCACTAAGACACTGGGAGCGCGTCTCTCATACAGGTGTGTTTTCAGTACCGGGAGCTGTCCGTGGTTTTGAATTGCAAAGAGAACCACTGGAGCTATTCCCATCTCGCTGGAGCAAGCGCTTACTAAAGAATGAGGACTTTGTCAGCGGATGTTTTTGAGCAGGACACTGAAGGTGCTCACTTGTTCGTTTTTTAACTCCTTCACTTAAATTCTCATTTTTTTCTTTCTTTCTTTCCTTCTTTTGAGAAGCTCTTCCACCTCTCGCCATGCTTCCTGCTCAGGAGGCAGCCAAAATCTACCACACCAACTATGTGCGTAACGCCCGAGCCATGGGGGTGCTCTGGATCGTTTTCACCATCACCTTCGCCGTCATCACCGTGGTGGTGTTCATCCAGCCCTACTGGATCGGCGACAGCGTCAACACACCGCAGGCCGGATACTTCGGCCTCTTCCACTACTGCATCGGGAACGCGCTCACCTCGGAGCTCACCTGCAAAGGGAGCGCGCTGGACTTTGGCTCCATCCCGTCCGGCGCCTTCAAGACGGCCATGTTCTTCGTGGGGATCTCCATGCTGCTGGTGGTGGGCAGCATCGTCTGCCTCAGCCTCTTCTTCTTCTGCAACGCGGGGAGCGTCTACAAGATCTGTGCCTGGATGCAGCTGGCTTCCAGTGAGCTTCAGGCTGTGACTAAAAAAGTTTCAAGAGTTTTTAAGTGTGTTTAAATTACAGGGTAGATCTCACAGTAAGAGTTTACATTATTGGAAAGTAACACCATCATCATGGTGTTACCAGCATCACCATGTAGGCTCCAATTAAGAGAAACATCATTTTAAAACTGAAAATAGCCAATGTATACAGTACATTTAGTCTACTCCACTATATTAGTATTTTGCAGATAAAGACTGGCACTAATCGAGCAATATTAAGAGGCTTAACAGTTTTATATGATGTATTGATCATACAGATGTAGAATGCAGTTAGTTAGTTGAATTGGAGAAGACTTCCACTACCCGTAGAGCTTGCATGTAGATATTATTTTCATAATTTTGCTATTGTACAGTTATATCTTGTTTATGTATTTTAAAAATGTATTTATTCATGCAAGTCTTCATGTAAGTATTTAAAAAAGCCAAGGAAAGGAATGAATCCAGCTAATAAACAGTCAAAGTGGAAACTAAATGAATACACATTAAACTAAGATTTAGGAACAGATCTGTAAGAAGGTTGTGAAGGATAATGGTGGCTCACAGCTGTAAACTCAGAGTCTGAAACATGTACGAAAGCCCAAAGCTGAAACAAAAAGCTATGAATTTAAGCATTTGGTGACATTTCTGTAGTTCCCTGCAGACTCGCAGACACAGACAGAGCTGAAACATGATTCTGTTTGAAACATGAAGCAGTTTGTGAGCAGATGTACCTGCGAGTGAAAGGAGAGGCCTGTAATGAACCAAGTAATGAGATTAACCTGAAGGTGTGCTGTTACACTTTCTCCTCTCCCCCTTTCGCACGTGTTCTTGTAAATCCATCTTCATGAGAAGCAATGTCATTTTGGCTCTGACACCAAGTTCATTTTTAAGGATATTTGGATGCAGGCTTTGAGAGGGCTGTTTGAAAATTGCTGTTTTGAGGGCCTTCTTTGGAGTGAGTGGATGCAGAACTTATCGGGTCTGTTACGAGGATGGGATCATTAATTCGCTGAACCAGAGGCCCCTGAGGTGTGAGCTTAATAAAGTCAGTTTAAGGAAAGAATTTTGCTGTATTAGTTTAACTGAAAGGGTCTTTCTAATGTATTCAAATATGTAGTGAATTTTAAAGAGGACTTGATAAAGTGAGTCTCAGAAATGCATGAAGATGAGGTTTTGTGAGGATCAGAAAGTGAGAGCGAGATGCGAGGCAAGTGTGTGCTGTGCTGCACCTCCTTGTGCTGAGGTGGGACGGCAAGAGGTCTTAGCTGTCTGTCAGTGGAGTCAATAATAGATGAACAAGTTCATCTTTATTGAGTTGAGATGCTCTGGAGTTGCTAGGCAACTAAACTCTGTAGGTGTGTGTGTGTATCTACCTGAATGAACACAGTGTATATTTAATTTCTCTGGTGGTTTCGCTGTCATTTGTTGCCCGAGCCTGTCAAAAGCAGCAAGATGGTCTGTCACAGTGAGCACATCTATTCATTTTTACAGGTTTCCCACCACAAATCAATGCATGTTTTTGGACTTTGAATAAAAAATTTTCAAAACACTAGTAAGATAAAAGTAAAACCATCACACAGACAGAGCTGAAGTCCAGCACTCGTCAGCCTGTGCCTTCTCTCCTCTCAGGTACGTGCATGGTGATCGGCTGCATGATCTATCCTGACGGCTGGGACTCTGATGAGGTGAAGCGCATGTGCGGCCAGCGGACTGACAAGTACACACTGGGCAACTGCACAGTGCGCTGGGCCTACATTCTGGCCATTATCAGCATCATGGACTCCCTCATCCTCTCCTTTTTGGCCTTCAGCCTAGGCAATAGACAGGACAAGCTGCTGCCTGAAGACTTCCAGGTGGAGGGAAAAGGTGAGGGGAAGTGAGGGGTGGGGAAGGATAGTGAGGGAATGCTTTTCCTTAAATCTTAGCTGTGTGTATGGTGAGAACAATACTACCGGTATATGAGGATGTATTTGTATCCTTCTTCAGTTATTATTTGCTTATTTTTAAACCAGCTATGTCTCTTCTTGACTACAGATAACGCATAGAGCCCAGTGGACACTGGCATGAATGGATGAGATTTTATGAAGAGTGCCACTGACTTCAGAGGATATCCCGAGGCTTCGAGTCACTTTGAAGAAATAAGAGTCCATCTCTGCCTCAAAATGAGCTCATCAGAGTCACTGTCCATCCTCATCTCCAAGGCTACAGCTTCAGATTGCCGTCAGTAAAAGCCACTTATTACATCAGATTTAGCTCTCACTTTTATTTGCTGCTTTACATTTTTTAAGCATTTTGATTTTTTAAAATAAATGTTAATTGCTGAAATGTTATTATCATTTTGAGTTTTGAGCCTGACAGTATTAGCCACTGTTGCCTTCTCTCTATGTGAGAAATCTACCGTAATGGCGCTAACAATAAAATGATACCCAAGCTGATAACGTTTGGTTTTGTGCATCTGTAATTTATCTTTAGCATTCATGCTCTCTTAAGAGACATATTTCCATATGCATATACAGTAGATATTTGAATTAAGGGATGATTTCACATCTGTAAATACTGTTAAGTTTAGGAAGATGGTGCCTAAGTGTCTTCTTTTGACTCCACCCATTACGTGTGATACTCTCACATGGGTTCCAATCCCTGCACATACCCTGCACTACGCTGCTGCCAGCTCAAAGACCATTTTGTGCTACTTCTGTTGGACATTTGTGTTTTCACATGCATCTGTGTTCAGTGATGGAGAGAATATTTAAGTGGAAAAAACTGTGGAAAGCAATGACATAAACAACCCAGAGAAACTTTGAAAATTATTTATTCTTACTGCCTAAAGAAAAAAAAAAATCAAATGATGAGACATGGACAGTCGAGCCTTTATAGAAAAACAAGCAACATGTTTCTGATAGGACTGAAAGGAATATTACAATAACTTTAAGTACAATCTATGATTTTCACATCCAGCACCTTCTTATACACCTGAATACACACCTTTAAAGATTAAAAAAAAGAAAGAAAGTGTAAAAGAACTGACTGTGCCCTCACTCTGTTCCAGCTTCAAGCTCAAAAAAAGGAGAAATCAAAGTCCGACTCTTTGGTACACTGTACTGTACACTTGATGTGAATCCACCTATCGCTGGATTTGACTGTGAATGTGGGAATTAAACTTATCAGGTAAAAAAAAGCAACCCGGGTGTAAAAGAGCATTTGGCCAACTCATGCACGAAAAAGAGAAGGGCTCTGATTTTTTTTTCTTCACATTATAATGTGTCAAGTACTTCTCTTAAGTCAACATAAACTAATGCTGAAGCTAAAAATCTTTACTTTCACAAGAAACCGACACAACAGTTTGGCTATCAGTGTGATTCTGAACTCCCGATGTATGACCTGCACCTGTATACAAATGTAAAAAGTTCTCTGATAACGGTGCTTTGAAAGCTACTAGCTGCTCTTCATTCCAGTAAGCAATATGTAGTTATCACTTTTGAGCTCTCTGCACTCTCTTTAAAGGCTTAAAAGCTGGTACACCTAACATGATGACGAGCAAACAGACAAATTTGACTTCTAAAGTGAACTATATGATAATCGAAAGTGGCTCTGATGGTGACTGTTACAACTCTGTTAGCATCCTGTACCTTTCTGCGTTTGTAGAAAAATGTCCTTTTAAACCTGATGATCTCTTGTGTCTAAAATACAGAGAATAATGAGCAGAAGAGAAAAAGCTGGAGCTGGCAAAAAAGGGAAAATAAGATCAATAAGTTCTATTCAGCCAGTAACAAAAAGTCATAAATACTGAGAGAGTACTTTGAGCCTGTTTTATTCTCCTTAACTAACAGAACAGAGATTCAGCAGCAGTCTGTCTATCGTCTCAATGCTTCCCGATGAATGTAAGTAGACCCGTGAGAGCCGTGACAACAGGCTACAGGCACGATGGAATCACAGGCTCTCACAGAAATGGAAGTATTTGCTTACTGTACGTTTTCAAGCTTAAGCCCTTCAAACCCATCTTATCCTTTTCACAATATGCAGCTGTGTGTGCAGGCATCCTCTAGGATGAGAGCCATGGGTGGGAGAGGCACTGGGCTGCGGTGGCTCTTCTTTCAGGCACCAGGTCCAGCATGGGAAGCAGGAAGCTGCTGAAAGAGTGGGCCTCCTCTTTGGACCACTCATACTTTTCTACCAGGACATCAAACAGACCCCAAGGCTTCAACTTGGTGATGTGCCGGAGATCACCTGGGGGGAAAACACATTTAAAATTCAATCTGCTGCTTCATCGACACAACCGATCACTTTTCGCAGTCGTCAATCACAACAATACACCTCCACATTTTAGCCAACAACTAGACAAACACGTCCCTGTTTACATGAGCAAAGTGAAGCAGGTGAACAGGTTCAGTTACCTGGAAACCACTCACACACACAACCACAGCATAAAGACAGCTCACAAAGTATACTACTTAACAAACTTCAACAAGGATACATTCCCGTCTAAAGCTCTTGTTTGCATAGAAGAGCAACAGACAACATCTTGTCTGAAGGAATCGCAACCCAGTATAAATTATGCACATCCACCAGCAGAAGGCTCTGCAGCCGGGTGATTAAAACCACCCAGAACATCACCAGCAACAATCGACAGAGCATCACTGATCCTGATGTCATGAAGTGTCTGCAGAGCCCATAGCAATGCAGAAATATCCACTGCGACTTTGCTGCAGTTTCTTCCTTCAGGCTGTGAGACTACTGAACTGATCCTCCTCGCGTCACCACAAAAATCATGTTCCATTTATTAACATAAAGACTAAAATACATTTTTTAATATTTGATTTCTAATGTAACGGGCTACATCTTAAAGTTTATTATACAAGCATGTGTTGAATAATGACATTTAAATGAATCTTGAATCTATTCACCACCCATGTAACTGAACATGACTATGTGGGATCACATGTCACAGAGCATGTAGGAACCATCTGAAGTGAATTCATAGGCTTCAAATCTATTTATCTCCATTTTATATTCATAACTATAATTATCCTGGTATTGTACTCTTAGTGATTCTATAACAAGCCTGAGTATCTCTTGAGTAAACACGCAGTGGGATCTCTTACTGCTGCTCATGCTGCACTTTCTCTGTAGACTTTGTGGGGATAAATCCACCGCACCACCTCTATAAACTTGAAATAGCTGCACTGATTATAATTTGCTAGTTCAAACCGAGCAGATGGCTGTTCCCTTGAGCCATCAGGTGTTGGGCCTAAAATAGAAACTTCTGCACCAAATACCTGAGAGTATATTAAGGTTGAACTGGATGTAGCTGCTGCAGGGGGGGTAGCAGGCGGCCATGTTTACCTTTCTTGGTGAAAAACTCCTTGGAGTATTTGCCTGCCAAGATCAGCTTCCGAGGGACTTTGCCTAGCAGCTCGATGACCAGCGCTATGTGATCTACAGTGAGGCGGCAAAACACAAAAGCAGATGGACTTCACTATTGTTTCTTCAGTATAAGACATAAGTCACAATATGTCGAAACGAGGTGTAGGAGGAAGCTCGTCTTTGCTGGAACTGCTCTCTAGTTAAACTTAGATATATGGATGTTTGGACCACACCAACCTTCATCTCTGGAGTAGTCTTCTCCAGAGTGGGGTTCAAACAGGTAATCTCCAGTAGCCAGCTCAAAGGCCTGAGGAAAGAAGTACATAAGAACTCGAATACAAAAAAAAAAGAGAGATCATACTCTCCCACTGGCTCCCTTCTAAACCCAAACTACAATTTAAAATCTTTCTCCTAAAATACAAAATCCTGAATGACAAAGCTCCATCATAAACCTAATAATGAGACAATATTGCCATACAGCACTTTGATCTCTGAGGAGAGGATTTCTTTCAGTTCCTAGTTTTCAGAAGTAGAATGGGAAGCAGTGTCTTCAGCTATCAGCCCTCTCAGTTTGGATTCAGGAGATAAGATGCCTCTTTCTTGCAAGGTTAAGTCTAATTTTTTCTTTTTGATAAAGTTTATAATTAGGGCTGAATTAGGGGATCTTACACCATCTTTTTAGATCTGCTGCTTCAGGTTAAGGTTGCTTGGAGACTTCTCACAATGACCTAAGATCTTCTCCACTCTCCATTAATTTATATCAAAACCTGTTGCCTGCTCTCTTGGACAGTTTGTGTTTTGTCCGGCTTGTTGTCCATGGTGTCTCTACATTCCTCTTTTCCATGTTCTCTTTTCCTTCAACCAGGGGTTTTGACACATATGTTCCTCGTCACACTGAAAGCTTCTGCATAACATAAGTTATGTTAAGTTTGCTTTTCAGTGGGGGTTTGTGGGATCAGTTCATTTGCATACAGGTGTACTGTGTGTGAGTCTGTTTTACCATGCAGGCTGTGCTCCAGATGTCTGCTGGTGTGCTATAGCCGGCTCCTATCAACACCTCAAGAGAGCGGTACTGCCGTGTCTGGATGTCATCTGTGAAATGTTTGTGCTATAAAAACAGAAAAGTGAAGACTGGGTCACAAAATGAAAAACATGAACTTGGAAGATTTACAGTAAAAAGACACAGTGAATGTTTCAAGTTCTGCTTAAAAGTTTCTTTACAGAAAAAGTTTTATTGAATATTATACTCACCACCCAGCAGGCATTGCCGAGGTCAGCAATCTTAACCTGCAATTTGTCAGCATTGAGAGGGTCCAGGGGGTTTACTAACATGCTGCCTGTTGCTCCTGTTAAAGAGAGGAGAAGAAAGTGAAGCTGGTGTGTCTGCAGAGCAATTCTTTGCAGGATATTGTCAAGATAATGAATTATTGGAGGGCATTAGCGATGCGCACTACAGAAAAACAAAAACAAACCTTACAACCCATATTCATTGCGCCACACTGGTAAACGTGATTTG